AACCTGCGGCTTTGCTCCCAGAAGGAACACTGGCACACCCAGTCAAAGTCCCCAGCCTTCGCTGTCGCCAACAACCAATGACAGAGGAAGGCTTAAAAACACCCTGGCATGTAGCAGAAAAGGGAGCAAGGGTGGAAGGAGGGTGAACAGGGGCAACTACAAAATCCCAGAAGCATGGAAAATACCCATAACAGAGCTTAGGCATAGCTACACCTAGATCATCCCTAAGCAGTGGCTATCCAACCCGTTCTTTCCATCACTGGAGGTGTTCAAGTTCACAATTTCCCTAGGCAGTCTATTCTACTGCCTCACTATATTTAACAGTAAAAAAGGTTTTTCCATATATCCAATCTAAACTTACTTTGCTGCAACTTCAAGCCATTGGTCTGAATTCTCCTCTCGGCAAGCAAGACAGAAAAGGTGCTTTCCCTCTTCTTTATGGCACCCCTTCAAGAATTTGAAGAGTGCCATCATTTCCCCTCTTAAGTACCTTCTCCATAAGCTCAATATGCCTAGCTCTTTTAGCCTCTCCGCATCTGACTTGCTAAGTCTTTGATCATCTTTACTGGACCATCTCTCACTTCACATCCTTTTAAAAATATGAAGCCCAAAACTGCATCCAATACTCCAAATGAGGCCTAACCTATCACATCCCATGTCTTGCACCTAATTCTTCTACTGATACATCCCAAAACTGAATCTGTCTGCCGCAAAACCCCTACACCCAACTCCATAGGGCCTGTGAACTGATGCAGAGCCAAACAACCTAGCCTGGTAATGGCAGTGTACCTCCTCCAGGCCCACTCCGCCATAATCCCCAGTCTCTTTGCAGAATCCTTGATGACCTATCCAGAGGCCCATGATTCTGCAGAGGACAGTTTGAAAAGCACCATCATACAGGATTCCACTACTGAATTTTACCTTACAGAAAGTCTGAATGGTACATTGTTCTGCTATTAGTCAGTTCAGACAAAAAAAGCCTTACAGTGTGAAATTTCTTCTGAAGGATCTTTTCTGAAATTAATTTAACAGATCTCTCAAAAATCCCAGAAAATTATTTCTATATTCAAAGTGCTGAAATTTTGAAGAGAACTACTTTTTAAGTACAAAATCCTTCAACTTCAATCATAGAGTCATAGCTGATATCTTTACAATGTTTTATATTACAAGAACAGCTGAAAGTCCCATATGGGGATATGGCCTTTGTACTAGGTACTGTACAAAAATCCCTGAGACAGAGGCTCCCTTCACTTAAGCTTACAAAAAATCTTCAATACACAATTTGGTATATTAAGTTCTTTTCATTGCTTGTTGCTTCAATAGAAGGTACAAGTATAAATGTCTCTAAAAGTCACATTGTCTCTGAAAAACATTAACAGCTCTCCTTGGTCAGGTTACTTTGTTACCCTGTTAGTCTGACACCTTAAGTAAGGCAGAGACAGGATAGCACCTTAGAGATCAAATAGTTTGGAGAAGTATAAGCTTTTGTAGGCAAGTCTACTTTGTTAGATGTCACCTACGAAAGCTTATACTTCTCCAAACTAGTTAGTTTCTAAGGTGCTACCCTCTCCTGCCTTTTGCTATACTTGTGAAACAATCAAAAGGTATACTTGTGAAACAATCAAAAGGTGGCCTGCTTCATTTGACAGGCATTTCTGTTCCCAATCAACTGCTCTCACAGCAGGATTAACCAACTCGATATACCAACTGTTAAGCAGAGTAGGATGAGCCATGCCAGCCATGAGAAACTTGTATTTTCACTCGCAATGTCCTCCCATGCTTTCCTCTGAAACTTCTCCAGCCTGGTCTTATGGATTTGATTTTGGAAGTAGCAAAAAGCCAGTTCAGTACTTGGGTTAAGTGAATAGAGTCTTCTTGCTTTATTAAAACTGTCCTTACTTTATTTTTGGCACAAAAATCTCAAAAATAAATCAAATTAAATATCTCATGCTTTGCACCTAGTTACGTGAATAAAGCTAATTTCTTTGCTAACTATAGGAAAACATAACAAGTATGTTACTATTTTTTATGCAATGTATCTGGTAAGACCTAAACATATGAAGAATGAAATGTATTTTTAAACATCAAATATTCCATTAGAGCTAGCATGACTCACTAACTAGGAGGACTCATTACAGAATGCTGAAGAGGAAACACTATGAGGGGAAGTTCATGGTTTCTTGTTCCCTACCTTATTCCACATCCAGGGTATGATCTAGACTTTCATAGGTGAGACTACGAGGTGTTTACATTTTTTTAAATTCCCTCCCTAATGCCCAAAATAGGCAAAGAGTTCCTAAACTTGCTGAACTGCCTGTCATGGAGTTCTAAACCTTTTTATTAATCTCACTGATGAGCTCAGCTGTTTTCTTACGAGGACCTGAAAAGACCTCCCTCACTAAAAAAAAATCAAAGCAAGAAAGGGTTCCAATTAGGATGGCCCACATACCACCACTAGTCAACACACAGAGTAATGGTGTTGTTGTGTAGTGATATTTGTAGTGAACAAATATTATGCATCGGGGGTATGAGCAGTAGTAGTTTTCAGGTAAAGGAGTATGCAACCAAAAAAGTTTGAAAACCTCTGACACGGACTAAACAGTAATCAAGTACTGGGAGTTTTCAGTGGTCATCATCCTAGGTCACATCTGAATCAGTGACCTGGAGGCAAATAAAAAAAATGCGGTGTTAAAATCCATATTCTAAAACCTCCATGAAGTTAATTTCTCCGATTGTCTCTCCCCAGCCCACCCCCCGCAAATTACAGTTTGTGAACAAAGGTATGGGGGAGAAAAAAGATAATCCAAATCTTTGCTAAAGAAGAATACTCCCGACTAGTTCTGTTTAGATTAGAACTGTTATCAAATCATGACAACTGTCAGTTTAATTTCATGTTACCAATTGCCACTAATACACAAATTCCTATTCTGAAGGTCAGGAATTAAAATAAGACTATATAAAACATGGCAAAGAGCTAGAAGTACAAATGGAGTAACTCACTTTATATAAGAGCTCTTCACAATGTTCTGTTTCCCAAATGTCATTCCATACATTAACAGTTTTAACTTGCCTGGAACATTATTCACATGTCAGCTCTCCTCACAGGCACTACCTGACTGTGACTTTTAAGGTTTCATTTCATCAAGTATCACTGTAGCACCATGCCTTGCTAATAAAGGATTTTTTCCCCTTTTACTGCTTTGTAACCTCTCCTTATTGACAAGCATTACATAGCATACACACAAAAAACTCAGCAGGCAGGCTTTAGGTGGCAACAGTTATAACAACATTTTTCCAAATCTGAATGTCACATAACATAACATCCCTTTTTACAATCGTGATGCTATGATGCAAAGTAGTACAGTAGAGACATAGCAAGGAGCACAGTACAAGAACCTACATAAAACAGAAACTGGTAAATAAGGCACTGGCCTAGAAGTCAGGAGACCTAAATTCTATTCTTGGCTCTGCTGCTGACCTACTGTGGGACTGTAGGCAAATCACATCACCCTTCTATGCCTGTTCTTCCTACTCTTTGTCTTATCTGTTTCATCTCTAAGCTCTCTGGGGCAAGGAGAGTCTTCTTCAGTGTACATACAAAGCCCAGCACAATGAGGTCCTGATCTCAGCTGGAGTCTCTAAGTGAAACTTGTAAACACCTAAAAAGAGACACACATTTGATTACTTTGGTGTACCTGGCAGTTGGGGTTTTTATTTTTACTTAATAATAATAATAATAATAATAATAATAATAATACTGTCTTGTGCCAACCTAAGAGATTAATTTATGGACGAGATGTATGGCTTAAAAGTGCTTAAATCTAACATGCAATCAATCACCACCTGTCCTAACCAGCAACTCTTACAACTGGTAGTGCAGCTACAGTGGTTACCACACAAAGCAGATAGGAAGGAGAGTGGGGCTTTAAATGTATGAAGTGGTAATTAATCAGAACTACAAAAGAGTCTTCATTACATAACCACAGTTAGCATGAATTATTTGCTGACATCTTAGGCAATCCTTAAAAGAAACAAGTCAGCAAGAGGTATCCAAAGTACAGAGCCAGAAATATTAGTTGAAAGCTGAAGAGTCCATGCGTGTCTGGTGTGGTCCAGGTTGATCAGACAAGAGACGGGGGTGAAAGAGAACAGCTGAAACAAGCGGACCAGTAAATGGGATGAGATTAACTACTTAAAAAGGGAAAGAAACACAAAAGGGCAGGAATTAGGACACAGTTTAAACCCCATCCTGCAATAGACTTTCCCCTCCATACGGTGCCCTACTGACTCCAATGAAATTCTGTACCGATGCTACAGCCTGCTTGCACCGACTCTCAGGCCTTGTCTTTACTAGGATTAAAGTAGGGTTAACTAAACCTGACACACTCAATCACATGGTCTTCTGTACATGTCCCCTAAAAATGCCTGCTCTTGACCTTTTCTTTCCTATCTTTTAGGGCCATCCCTCCAATTTCCAGAAAGTTTAAAGAGATATACATATCATATTCTGGAAGGGTATAAATGTACTGCAAAGCAAGCTTCACTTCATGCTAGTATGCTTTATGGAGAACAGTTTGCTAAGCATCAGGAAGGAGTTTCTATTTATTGGATCAAACTCTTGTGCAACTTCTAGCAGTTTTTGTTGCCTCAGTTTCCTCTTTGTAAGAGGCCTTATATTTGGCTGCCTTTTATAAAGCTCTCTCAACTGTTCTGATGAAAAGTTACTACTTAATTTTATTTAAAAGCACAAGACATCAGTAATGCCTCTTTCACTCATATTTCTATACCACCTTTGCCAAGAGAGCATCACTGTATATTTAGAATACAACTGCAACTGTTCTTTGAAATGAAATGTTTATGAAAAAGTCATCACGCTACACCTAAGCCTGCTGCCATGCAGAGCTCCCTGAACGGTTAACGCCTTACACTGTCCTCTCACTTAGTAGAAGCATTGTTTTCCAGTAGAATACAGTCAAATCCGGTGGGCCAAGTGTCCTTACATCTGCTTAAAGGCTGTGTAATTCTGTTTCCACAAAGGAAGTGTGTCAGTATCCAATAACTCCCAAGCACGCTGCAAGTAACATCACACGGTGAAAGAGCAATGATCAAATGGGACACTCTAGAGGTGTCAAACTCATCTGGCCCTGGGACAGCATTAACTCCCATGGATACTGGCTCCTCTGACAGTGTAGCTCTGGCAGTTAAGCGGGAAGGTTAATACTGTCATCATCGCAGACCTGCATCCTCAGCAAGGATCCTAAGTTGGGAATCTGGCAACAGGGTAAGCAACAGCAGTGTTAACCCCCTGCCTGGGGGCTGATACAGCAGCCATGGTGGTTGACCACTACTGCTGCCTGCCCCACTGCCCACACGTCTAGCCCCACAGGTGGGATCCGGAGACTGCAAGAAGCCCTGTAGGCCGTGTGACCCACCTCTGCAGGCCAGATTCGACCCTGACACACCGTCCATACACCACGTGCCGAAACACCGCTCATCACAACAGTACTCAACTCGCTCTCCACATCCCTGGCGTCGCTTCTCAGGAGCCCCCCGGGTTTGCGCAACCCCCCCCCCCCCCGCGGGTCAAGCAATCGGAGCCACATCCTCTGCCCCCGCCCGGGAACTTGGCACCCCTTCTCCTCCGGGTGCCAAGCCCCCGTGACTCGGCCCTTTCGCAAGAGGTCCCCAGCCCTCAACGCCGCTCCTTCCCCAGCAGAGAGCGGGGCAAGGTGCCCCTCGCCCCCGGCGGCAGGTCGCCTGGCACCAGGCGCCGTAACAGGTTGGCAGGAGCCACCCAGGGAAGAGCAGGGCTGCAGCTCGGGCCCCC